AAATATATTAACGTATACGCTGTGAACATATGAACAATGTCAAAAAATCTTCTCTGTTCTCGCTTATCTCAATTTATGGGTATTTATAAGTATTAAGACAAAATATATAATAACTAATAATTATTTTATATTATGTATTGTTGTTTTTTACTTGTTTGTATTACTTTATTATATTTTATAATCTATTTATAAAACTTACAATATATATTTTATTTTTTTTTATTATTATTGATAATTTTATTATTGTAAAAAAAAAAAAAAGTTTTCAATTAATTTTAATACTGTAAGAGAATGGGATAGTAGTATAAGAATATTAATGTACCCGGTACATTAAAAAAATAAAATTCAATTTACTAACACTTATATTATAAACAAATATTTTATCAAAACCAGTGACGTACCTGTGGGGGGGGCAACAGGGGCATTTACCCCCCTTCCCCCCGAGAAGCTTTTTGATGCCAAAATGCAAATTAATTGTTCAGCTTAAATAATGTAAATTATAAATATTTTTAATTTTCACTGATTATAACCGTGTTTGATATCAAAAGTTTTTGATATCATTTATCAATGTAAAATATCAATAGTCGACCGAATTGGGATTAGGAGTGATGGTCACATATAGTCACTATTTTATAATGTGGTTATAATTGATATCAAGTCATCAATATGAGTTTTAAGTATTTAGTAATAATTTATAATAAAGTTTCAGATTATATTATAACCATAAAAAATTGTGCAATTAATTTATGTCCCCCTCCCTCCCAAAATATTTCACAGGTACGCTACTGATCAAAACGTACCTATGTTCATAAAAACGATGAACTATGCTATAATTCATTTAGTTTTACCTTATATTATATTCATAATCACTTAATCATATTATATTCAAAATGATCATTCAAATATTGTAATAATCATGTTGATTTCGCAGCGACAGATCTTACGATCTATGCAGTTTTCTGCCGCAACTTGCGCAGATGATAAACAGGACCGGGATAACCAACTTATAAATATAGAATAATTTTGACACTAAATTTTACAAATTTAATAATATATTATACAAAAAAAAAAATATAAATAAAACCAGCTGACAACTGACGTCACCGCACTCCCCGGAACATCGTCACCCCGCACTTCCTGGTGATCCGCCGCACCACAATAATAACTACCGCACGACAACGGGAGCTCGGCAAGGAATACAGCCAAATCTTTCACTCCGACAATATGATGACTGTACGCAGCCCAAACCAGCGTTATACTGGAAGGAAAGTTGCACCTGGTTGATCCGCACTACGTCCCAAAACGTGCAACGATTGACGACACCCACGTGGTTTATCCGACACACCGGGAATACCCACCGTCGGGTGACAAAACGACTAACGCGAGCGAAGATCACGCACGTACGCAAAGCATGGCATAGATTACGTAAAGCGGAAAATAAGACACGTTGTTCGTGGAAAGTCGTAATGCAATAACGTGACATACACCTGGGGCCGAATGGTCGTTGACGATAGACAGTCGCAAGACCCGACCCAAACACAGGTGTAAGAACGACAGACGCCGTGGCGACACGCAGTCTCGCCAGCCGTCACAAGAACGGCGATCGGGCGGCGGGCAGCTTCTAGAAAATTCTACGCCCGAAGCGCCATCGTGGAGACCGGTTACCACACTTCAATAGGCACGAAAAACTGATGTCGCGCGCGAACACATGTAAAAAATGAAAAATAAATGTGTGAGCATAATAATGATATGTATAATGAAAATGTAAAAGATCTTAGATTTCCATCTGAAGCCGGAAATCTAATTTAATAAAAATTGATAAAAAAAGAAAGAATAGACGTTCTTCTACAAGTGTACCTGTTTGGAAATAGGTAGGAAAAGCATAATGTATACATTTTGGCAGTATTAAACAAATGAATTTCCCATTGGTCGGTTTTATCGACGGCAGTGGAAATTCTAGTCCCACGCAGGCAGCCGCTCACATAAATACACACACACAAACACACCCCCGATAACAATAAAATATAATGTATAATATTTATACGCTTATTGTTAAAATGAGTATCGATTTTCGATGAATCTGCCATCCCGTGGTTTATTGTTGTCGATGCTTTTGGCAAACGCGGAAACGGGTTTCGCCGATTTGATATTTAAGGGGGACCTATTGACACAGTTTTTCGGACCCTTTTCTGTACGTCTCCCGTCGAATGTATACATATTATACGTGCACATGTGTGTATTATTGTCATTCCTTCATTGTCTGCCGACGAATAAAGCGCTCGCGTGTGCGTGTAAGAACGACCTGCTATTCTGTGGTCAAGGCGAAGCGCGCGACAAAGGGTGGAAAACGCGTTCGAATGTCAACCCTTTTTGTGCAGCACAAACAGAACAACACCTGTTTTTCAGCTGCGCGCACGGGGACCCATATTTTATATTTATTATATGTTACACGCGCATTGATATATGGTATATTTTTGGTCGCAAACAGTTTAGGACCGTTCTGGCAAATATATGAAGACCACGGGCATGATGATATTCCCGTATGAATTGTACGTACATTTCACGTATTCGTGTATTAGTATAAAATGGTTGAAGTGTTTGCCGCAAATCAAACACATTTTACCAAGGGTAATCATTTTTTTTTCTGTTTTATCAATTATCATTTTATTACTGTTTATGAACCTAATGAGTGCTTACGCAACATTTTAAGCGTTACAATTATTACAATTATTACACCCAGATCGACACGTTTCGAACGGCTAATTTTTTTGTATTATCCGTACGCGGTTGTGCGATCCGTTCCCGTTCATTGTTCCGAGGATATTTTCGACCTGTAAGAATCTTATAGTAAGATAATAATATTATCGTGTTTACGGGCGCCAGATCCCCTAGAGGTTCTTTTTTTATTTTTTAAAAGTTATTTCCAATCATAATATTACGTTTGTATTTTTATATCGTTTTGAATATTTAACATGCTTTGAAGTATGATAGAAGTAAATACCTTACTATCCTTATTTTATCTGTTTTGATCGAATTACGCTGTAACTAAAAATATGTAAATTTCGTAACAGAAGTAATAAGGATCGACGAACATTCTTAAATACGTCGCTGTTTTAGTATACTATTATTTTGCACAAATGTATTGATTGCATTTATGTATTTCATGTAGTGCAGCGACTGACCGTTTTAGAAAATACGTCGGTTTCAACGTAAATCAATAAGTATTCCTTTAAACGAAGGGTAAACATTAATCAATTATAGTCGACTATGCGTACGATTTTTAATTCAACCAAGAAGTCGATATGCTAATGAAACGAATCTTATTATTACCCTAACTCGTTTGTACATTTAAATCGAGTTAAAGCTATACTGCTGTACTTGTAAAATAATGATGTTTGCTTTGTTCTATCGGTTTACGAATGAAAAATGTTAATACTAAAAAAACCCAATAATCATAAAAAACAGATTTTTAGTATGTCACAATTAGAAAATCATCACATGAATTATTTATTTATCTATTTTGAAAAATGTATAAGAAAAATAATTTATCATCCCTTTTTAATTTTTATTTGGCATAAACAATCTATACTTATTAACACAATAAGTTTATATGATGAGAGTGTAATTATTATATATATATATATATATATATATATATACGATTATAACTTGAATGGTTAGGTTAAATTCATTTAAATATTTGTTTTCTATATTGCTAATATTAATTATTTAAATGATTTATATATATATATATATATATTATAGTTTAAAAAATATTCTTTTTCATAAAACTGATCGTTGTATAAAACACCATCGACGAATATAATATAGTATAATACGAATAATATATTATTTTTCGAAAGATACCGAACGTTTGGTTTGGACACGGAATTTCGAAAATCATCGAAGGACGTCAATGTAATTATTATCACATGTTTAGTCGTGGGCATGCGTTTATTCGTTTTTGCCAGTCATCTCATTGTCGGACAAAAATGCTATTTCGGATTGCTTTTCATTTCGTCCACAATAACAAAATAACGTCTCTGACCTGTTCTTCGTCCCTCACTCTCTCTCCCTCTTTCAGTTCTTATCTCGCACAGGCTCACAGCTCACATCAAATTGAAACATGTCAATGGGGATTGAACCTTTTTCGACGAAGATCGATTTTCGTCGTTTTACAAAAGACTATCCTGAAAAATATTTGCTGCTTTTAACGCACTTGACCGACCGCGAATATGTGCACACGGTCTCTAGTGTATATATATAAATATACGTATAAAATGATTATACTGCATCTTTGTTGTACACCAGTGGACAAAGCGCACTGCACATCGTCCGCGTTGCCATTGTGTGTGTTTATCGAGAATTATTGTATAAATATGATTTACGCAGAAAATTATTCCTAAACGTGTACGATTTATTACTGCGTACCAATGGCTTGGGAAATCGTTCGACTACAATCGAGTGCATCCTCGTTACGTTGTGATCTACGAAACAAATGCACTAAACCTGTTGACAGCCAGTGAACATTATGAATTTAAAATCAAATTATTGTGCGTGCAAAATATTGATATTTTATATTTTCGAAGTGTGTAAGACGGTTTACGAGTTCGATTGGAAAGTGCAATATTAAAATATATCGTATCGGTCTTACTGCGGATTTTCTGTACACAACGCACAGGAACAATAACGAAGTCGCTGCGGCGGACACACAACAGCGAAGAAGGCGTGATTAATTGATCATACTTCATACCATAGTTACTCGGTAGACAGGGATGGTCGGAGCCGCGCACACAATGTGCATGTACGGTTGGAAGTAAAACTTACATTCAAGTTCCAGTTCCAGCGTGTCATCGTCACACGCCGTACATGGAGGTGAAATAATTGTAGCTATAAAAGTAAAAAAAATGTATATTGATTTACGTACAAAAAATATTATTAGTGATTCATGACGTCGGTTCATATATTCTACGGATGCAGGGCAAAACGTTTAGCTCGTATAAAAGCATACAAAATTTATTTATTTGTTAATATAAAACGTTTAAATTGTTCTACGCTCGGAATTAGCCGACATATTGAATAATTACAAGTAATTACAAGTAGGTATACATATATATATAAATATAAATTCGTCACGTTATTAGAAAATCAAAACGGTACATAATAAATAAATACAAGCAAATCAATTTAATATAAATAAGCCCCTGGTTTCTTTTTTTGGTAGGTGTACCAATACGAAAAAATCAGCGCGTCGGAAAAAATACCTAATAAATACTCGATAAAAAATAAAAATAAAAGTAATGTCTATTAAACATGTTATAATGTTATCATGATAATTTGTGATAATCGAGAAAAAACTTAATAATCATAATAATAAGACTAGAACGGTCTTATCAATTTTGCACGAGCTGTACCGCCACCGACCGGTGTCCGCGGTCACATGGACATCAACAGCCGTCTTTTGATTTCCTTTAGTTCGCTCACTTTCTTCGTGAGGTACATGACGCTGATTTGGTTCTCAATGTACTTCTGACGTTTCGCGTCCCTGGACCTCTTGGCCGCCTCATTGTTCTTCTGGCGCTTCATCACGTACGTCTGATCGAACATGTGCTGCCCCCCGTTCATCTTGTTCGGTATGGACCGTCTCATTTTTTCAAAGTTCTTCGGCGGCCCCAAGCTTTCCAAGTACCGGTTCCGGAATGACACAAAGTCTGACTGTCTGTAGATGGCCGCTACCTCCTCGGGGTCTACGTCCGGGTTGTCGGCTGAGCACATGTTCAGGTGGTCGACAGTCGTCGACTCGGGCGACATGCAGTCGTCCGAACGGCAGCCGCTGCCGCTACTGTCCATTCCGACGCTGCCGCCGCCGCCGCAGCTGCCGTATTCGCCCGGTCCTCCTGTGCCGAATATTCCGTCCAAATACGTCGGATACCTGCAAGGCAAAAACACATGCAATTGTTAAGCAACACAATAAACCATATTTGCGTATCGGTAAATGACGAATGATTGAAAAACAAAAAATAAAAAAAATTAAAGTGGGGAAAGAGTACGGGTTTGACGAGCGTACACATGGGTACGCAAAAAATTAACAGGCCGATACGGTGGGATTAAAAGCAATTTTAAAATTTACTGTCCGCAGTGTTACTATTACCCGAAACCGTAGGCCGCAGTCTTGGGGAAACAGTCGTAGCCGCCAAACGGGAACGGGTTGGACTCGGACGACGACGGCGACGCGGTGGCCACATACATCGGGCTGGTCATATTCGGCTTCATCGTCATCGGGTTTAATTCGAATGCGTGGCCGCCGTATGTGGACAACTGCTGTTGCTGCTGTTGGTGCAACTGTTGTTGTATCTGAAGCTGGAGCTGCTGCTGCTGTTGCAGTTGGAGCTGCTGCTGCTGCAGCTGGAGCTGTTGCTGGTGATGGTGGTGGTGGTGATGGAACTGAGCGGTGATCGGCGGTAGTGGTAGCGGCGGTTGCGGGGCACTGGTAGCCGCGGCCACGGCGGCCGCTGCGGCCGCGGCGAAGTACGGGTTGTACTCGGTGGCGAAAATGTGCTGGTACGCGTCCGGCATGGCGGCAAAGTGGCCGAGCGGCGACACGTGGTCTGCGATCAGCGGCGACATGACGGGCACCCGATGGGTGTCCTTGCCGGCCGTTGCTGGAGCGGCCGCCTTAGGGGACCGCACCAACACGGAAGCGCGTTGCGCGAACGGCTCGCAGCTGATCGTGGAAGGCGGCGGCGGCGGCGGTACCAAACTGCCAGGGCTCAAGTCCAACGGCGTCGGTTTACGGTCCTCGTCCGGTGGCGACGCTTCTTCCGGTTCCGGATCGTTGCGTTCCGTCGGCACCGGGCTCGATTTTCTCACCGACAAGTCCAGCGGCATCGTTTCTGACTCGGCGTTGTCCACGTCCATCACTGTACTTTTCATCGCGGTGCCGCAAAGTTCGTTCGATCTGTAAAACATCAAATACTCCCCAGTTACAATTAATCGATTGTGTACGTATATCTGTAACTTAGTGCAAGAAACGGCAACGTCACATGTTGATGTAATCGAGATTATTGGGCCATACTTATAGTAGTTCAACACAAAATGAGTCTTACGATAAAATAAACAAATAAATACAATTCGATTGAGCATAATCATTTTTAGAGTTCTACATTAAAAATATTATGTATACATTAAAATTTGACCAATTAAATGTTTTTATTTTCTGAACATTGTCATAATATGACGGGCATAGGTGCAATAAGAGTAAAAAATTTGAGGGGGCTTCATCCCCTCCCATATATTTTTCAATCACTGCCTCTCAGAAAATTTTTTCCACCCTTCATCATCTATAAAAAATGTGCTTATTGGAAGGTAAGTAAAACTTAAAAAATAAATTCATTTTTTCAGTAGATATCACCTATATTTTTTTTTATTTATCAATATAATAATATAAAGTTCTGCATAGTTTTTTTTTTTTTTGAGGGGGGCTTTGAATGTTATTGAGATGGCTGATCCTTTCCAGCCCCCAACCTAATTGCGCCTGCGGACGTAGGCCCTTATTGCACCAAGCCACAGATATATACATACAGAGTGTCAGAGGAACGATTAAGGTAAGAGCACACTAGGTATAATGTGTTCACTACTGGGTTTGATATACGAACGAAAAATAGTTTTGTATATTGACAACTTAAATGGCCACAAACAACAATGTACGTTATGCTCGCTACGTTGGCTACATCATGACGCGTCGTCATCTTGATTGTTGGCTATATTTTTGAACGACGCGTGATTAGTTGTCTCGTACTAAGGGACAGTTGAGTACTTAAAAAATATTTTTCCTTGAGGCAGATTTTACATTTTCGAAAGCTACATTAAGAAATTGTAACTTCACGAAAATTTATCCGTAATGGGTGAGGGTGATCTAAAGGTGTCCTCCGAATATTTTTAAAAGTAAACAAATTTTAGTAGCCATTATATTTTATAATAATTGACGAAAGATTATCAAACAGGTTTACGAGTATATATTCATGCGAAAGTATTCTTTAAATTTTATTTTATCATCTTGTAATTCGTTTATAAAACAATTTAGTTCATCAAACGTTTTTGTTCATAAATTTATTTCATGGACTCACTTTTTTCATTATTATGTTAAGACAAGGCAAATAATAACAAAGTTTCATCATCACTGGCCTCATTCTCCCAGGGTAACTTAAAGGTCAATATTTTTTAGGACAACTGATGCTATAATAATAATTATGTGGTACACACGTATTAAACGTAGAGTTGCTGTGTGGCCATACAACATAGCGAACATATCGTATATAACGTACGCAGCATAGCTTTCTTTGTGGCCGGGCCCTTAATCGGTTGTACACGATATTATATATATTAGTATCCCACAAAGATATGAACATGTAATACACGTGAATTATGATTGTTGCTCATTATTCAGATTAAGTATTTGATTTTTTTTATATTTCAGAACAAAAATATAAAAATAAATAAATGTTTTGCTTCCCACAGTCATATAGATATAATTTATTTTTTGTTACTGCTGTTCGTTTATTTTATCATAAATAAATAGGCTGTATAGAAAAGTTCGTCCAATTCGATAAAAATTTATCCTAACCATAACACTAATTGAACGCAATTCAATTTTAATTTTGATAGGTAAAATTAAAAGTTCGTCTAATTCGATAAAAATTTATCCTAACCATAACACTAATTGAACGCAATTCAATTTTAATTTTGATAGGTAAAATTAAATGTGAGGAATCACGGGTCGGACTAATTTCACCGTGCCTTAATTGAAACCGGAGTGAGAGCAGGCGGCCCTTCGGTTGTTGATTAGGGTTTTATACGTACCTATAACAATCATCCGATCGGTCGTTGAAACGATCAGACATACGTCGAAACGAAATCGCGTAGCGGCCCGAGAACGACATCGCTACGTACATGGCAACGGCGAATGCGAGACGGAAAAACGTGCAAGTCGGATTTTGCGGAACACGCTGTCGGGATCGCAGTCTCCGGACGAGATCAACTGATGTGGCATCTCGTGCGGGGAAATAATGGCACGGAAAACGCACGACGACAGCCATTTTGTGATCTACCAACGTCCGCGGTGTACGAATACAACGCGTTCGACGTTATCGACCGTGGCCGATCGATTGATTTTTATTGGCGGCACAACCCTAAAGTACGAGGGACTTCGGAGCCAATGAAATAATGCGCATCTCGGTCCCTTTGTCCGCACGTTTATCGTTAACACAACAGCTATATATAATATTCCGACCGTCCACTGATTACGATAACCCGCGATTTGAGAATTTCATTATTGTTTCGTTTTACGCGAATTTCACGATTCAGCAAGTTCGCAAGATTAATAAAATAATACAAACAGAAACAGAAATATAAATAGAGAGAGAGAGAGCGCATACCCGCAGACTGATGGACTGAGATAAATATAGTATTACCGTTATCGACCGGTAAAAGCTCGAGTGTTTCGAAAAAACGAAAACACGACTCGATGGCGTACGCATTATTGGACAGCGCTCAAAAATATACCTCGCCGTTTTTATCATACTACTCGTACCCAGAAAGTCAGCATACGTATTGTTCCGCAAAGTAAGCTGTATTCGATAAATAATTCATTTGACTGTATCATATGTATAAGTAGTACCTTATATTGATGTTTACGTACCACATACTCTTGTGCGACGCACAATGTTTACTTTCGGAACGGATTGTCTTTTTTCTTTCATTGAACTTTACGATTTCCAACTCGATACCTTTAATGTACCTATATATATATATATATGATGACAACAATGTATTGTGTTGGGACTTTTATTTGGCTTCAAAAGTGATATATTTTCTATGTTCAATTCGAACCCCGTTAAATGTGTTTGTGCTTTCTATCCGTAAGTCTAACGATTCATACAACCACATAATAAGAACATCAAGAACCAAAATGTATTGTTTCTATACGTACGACATCTGTACTTATTTTTAGACAGTCGCATGTACTCAAAATTAATATTTTGAAAAATGTAAACAAATAATTTTTTTAAATATGCATCCAACATTTAATTTTATTTTGGTTATAAGTAATAAATAATTATTTATGACTATAATACACATAATGGAAACATTTATTAATGAATAGTACATGTATTTCGAACACATATATTAATACGATATCTACATTTTATTGTAATTTTGTATTTTTCATAACAACATGAAATGCACATAAATATTTACTGATTTATTTGTTAAGCATGTCGACATAAAATTTAAATATTTGATTACTTTATTAAAGTAATTCAATTATTCGTTATCGGTCTTATTTATAATGTAAATATTATTTTAGAATTATACATTAAGAATATTTTATATTTATTTTAATGTGTATTACGAAAACGAAATGATCATCAACTCAATAATTGAGTAAATATTTATAAATAATTATATTACATTATTTTGCTGAAGCGACTTAAAATCATCATTATTTGCTTATCTACCCATACAATCGAAAAAATACGTCTTATTGAAACCGTTTGAAAATCATTTGAACGAAAGGTAAAAATAAAATAAAATTATAAGTAAAAATTAAAAATGTTTTCATCCATTCTTAACCAAAGTCCAATTGAAATAAATTACCTTATATCAGATATTATTGGCACATACATCAGACATCTAAACGTGAATAATATAAGCAAATCCAATAGCGATTTGTTATTAGCAAGTCACATATCCGCCTATGTCGAAAGAACAACAAGCAAATTAATACTGTTAATTATAAATACTAGATGAATTAGCGTACTAGTATTTATAACCAACGTTGGTACTGAATGGTTGATAATACTGTATTTTCCTCTAAAAGCCGGGTTCACACTACACCGTACCGTGTCGAGTCTTCTAAAATAATTATCTCTGATTGGCTGAACCACATTGTTACATCAACGTATACCGTATAATAAAACACAAATTACCTCATTAACCATAAGATACCGTAAAGTTGATTTTATTCAACTTTTGAGCGTGTGGTTACCGATTTTAATAATAATAATTCAATATTCTATGATAACATTATTCATAATAACAAGGGGCTTGGAAGGTGTTGCATTTGCATGATTTTATTGGGCTATTCAATTTATTGCTAAGTAACCTTGAAATTATTTTCATGACACTATGAAAAACCTAATGGGAACATTTTGAAAAAAAAATTTCAAATTTCAAGCTATTTATTTTGTTTTATTTTGTCATATATATTTATACCTAGAAATTATATTTAGCTTAGTATAATATACTAATATTTGTATTGTTACGTACGAGTATATTTAATTAAATATCTTTATTTTGAACATTTTTGAGTTAAAAAAAAATTAAGTGCATATTTTTGATGCATATTTATACTTTTTTAAGCTCATAAGTGCATGTATATTTAGTACTTTTTAAGTGCATTAAGTTCCGAATCCTAATAATAATATAATACATATTGTCTACTATATAATTTAATATTCATCAGTTATTATTTATTGAAACTTATGAAAATATTTTATATCTAATAAAAAAACTGCGAAAATATGTAACCAAAATTTTATAGCATCACCATAAGATTGGTATAACACATTTTCAAAGCACACGGTCTGGTAAAATTCATGTCACGGTGTAGTGTGAACCCGGCTTTAGAAATACACTCGAAATGTGATTTACGTTATGATGTATTTTATTACAAATTTTCCGTATTTACGAGTCGTAATAAAAGGTATCCGTCAAATACGTTTCCCCGTATTTCGTAGCCGAATCATTTGTTGCAAATGTAACGAGATAGGTCAAATGTAAATAAATTTTCTATGAAAAACGGAAATAGAAAAGTGTTTGTCAGATATACTTGCGCAACTGACGAAACTGATAAAAATCAATTAGTGAGACGGTACTGTAATTTCGTTCGACACATTCGTACGAAAACGAAGTTGCATTGTACAATCGTGTAATTTTATTTCAATATAAATACGTCCGGGTACTAGGAACAGAATTATAATACCCCGAAATGCGGGAAAATATCGCGCTACGCAGCATTCAAAAATATTCTTGAAAACAGTTCATTCCAAACAAGTTTTCGATCGTCAACCATTCCACCACAGTGCCCGAACAGCGTATGGTATAGGGATTAAAGTATTAGCGGACCATTAGCTAATGGCTTTCCTTTATTTATTTATTTATTTTATTATTACCAATCTACGATTGCCGCGGGAATCGAAAAAAGAGGAAGAATCCTATCGTTCCCTTGGTCCAGATCGATAAAACTTTGTAAACAAACGACAACAATAATAATAATAATAATAATAATATGTTAATGGTGTATTCGAGAACTCCGAACAGACACGGAACAAGAAAGGGTGCCGCCGTGTGTTCGACGCATTCTCGAGGTGTTCACCGCAAGACCGTCGTGTCGTACATTGTGTGTTATTAATCACAATATCATTGACGTGACCGTTCACTTAACGCACATCGATCAAATTTTTTTTCTAACCATACTGTTTTCGCACGTGATTTTACGTTATGCGTAGAACGTCACACAGGTAAAGTGAGCGGATTTATTTTCGACGTTTTTTCTAATCATTTTTTTCATCGTCCAATTTTAGCACCAAAAATTAACGATATAACGCAAGAAGAATCTGCCCGCGCGGCCGCACACAGATCCGAAGTGGGGGAAAAATATTAGGAAACGGAATAATGAAATTAATATTAAATCGCCATCTCTTGAGATAAATTAATCAAATCACAGTCCGTAGGAGTCTGCGAACGATATACTTGAACCGTTGTGAAACGAAATCCCCGATCTGGATGGGTTCGAGAGTAGGGGGTGGGCATAGGTTTGATGGTATTATAAATTAAAACAATATGATCACTTACCGATCGAAAAGAATCTGCATATAATGTTTAAATGTGCGATGTTTCGTCCGCGGACTTCTTCGTCTCGAGTTATAGACGTTGAATGCGCATTCACTGATGACTGCTCTAACCGATTGTTGCTAAAGAACTGTCGTAGGATCCCGAGATCGGTAGGCCCTTGTAAGACACAACAATGCGCCCCCATTGGGACGGTTCGGGGGCGGGCGGGGATGAGCTACTGCGATAGTGGTGGTAAAGGCATCGGACGCACACGTGTGTGTGTATATGAGACAATTTTACGAAATGGTCGTGCGTACTGACGTGAGTATGTATACCTAAATCCCGATTTCTATAAATTCGTGCCGAAAAACCCGAATTAGGTAAACGAAACGTGTTTCCCTCCCCGGACCCGCTATGTCCGATACGGTCGTATAATAAATATATACATAATGTTGTTATGCATGTTGATTACAATAGCAGGTAAAAAATTTATTGTATCCCTGTTTTTCATTGGTATGTGCCTTTTAAAACCGACCGGGATCCAATTTCTAATAATGGTAAGATGTGTATATTATAATCTAGACTCTGTGTTAAGTGTTGGAACGAACATGGACATCGGAAGGCCAAAAAAAAGAAAAATTTTAGTTTTGCAATATATTGATGTGCACTTGTTGTACCGTCAATGTTTCTTCAGACCACCTGAATACCGATCGATTAAAAATGTATTCCGCGTCCGTTTTTTACCGACTAGCGATAATAAATCCAATCTAATTGATAGACTAGAATTTACGCAAGTTCAAGTATGAATCTTACAATTTTAGTATAGTTTCATTGTATTGGGAGAGAAAAAAATTAAAAACTTATAAACATGCGTATTTTAGGCATGACTCACAATACAATAGGAGAAATTGCGCTAAGTAAAATTGTTCATTAGTCACTTTTTAACAGTTAATTGTTGTCGTGCAACAAAATATAATTCTGTAATATATCTACAATATTATTTTAGTTTTCATACGCTTAATATATTAAGACGATGACAATATTTTAAGTAAAATGTTATTTTATTTTACGTTCGAACTGTTAAGAAAAAAAATACAAAAGGAGGATGTGATATTGCACATTACGTTTCGGTGCATCTAATTATTTTATTCTGGTTGCGTAATTTTCTTCTCTTATTATTAGATCGTTAATTTCTGCGGATATTTACAATCGGTTATTAATTGTGTTTACTTTTTATTTAATGACACTCCAATTGATTGCGCACTTATATAGTGTTGTTTTATTTATTTTATTTAATATTTTAGTTCATAAAATTATTATATTTTTTATATTTACCTCCCGATTATAGTTAGTACAGTTTAGTAATCGCAAAGAAATTATTCAGAATAATTACTAACTATACAGTAGTTTTTGTGTAATTTTTTAATCAAGCAAATAATGCGTACATTCTGCGATTATTGATATTTAGACGTGAAGAATAAATTAAATATACACATTGTATACAAATTAATGCATTGATAAAAATCATAACGTATATCATAATATATACGCACGTATATAACTGCTTTAGTGTTTAATGCGATAACATTAACATTTTACGTTAGAAAAACGTAAATAATGTAGACTTCTAAAAGGACAATTGTACAATAAATCAAATAACGTAAAAAAAATGTTAACCAAAGTATTTATGTTTTATTATGCATCATATTTTTCTTTAAAAACCCATCTTTAAACAATTTTCTTACATTTTGTTCATCAGTAACGTATGAAATTCCATAAAAAAGTAATAATTTTAATAATACAGTTCATGACATAATAGTGATAATATCTATGTCGGTGTTAAAACAAATTGTCTACGTACCATAGATAATTGAATGTATATAATAATAATAAATATAATATATAAAACATAATATTAAGAAATTATTGGTACGAGTGATAAAATTACAATACATATTCAAATAATAATCAATAAATAGACATAATTATGGAATGGAAAAATTAACGTTAGCTTAAACATCCGATTAATTTTTTTAATGTTATTAATATTTCTAATTCTATATTATTAATATATCATAAGGTTTTTTTTTTACAGTGAAATCGAACTATTTTCGTATGGTATTAAGTGAACTGCGAACATATTGTTTTGATTAATTGACATGCCATTATTTTACGTTGGATAAAAACTATATTTTAGTCAATAAAACAACCTTATTTATGTTTATTATTAATATAATATTTGTACAATCGTATAACAAACATATAAATTATTTTCTAAAATTTGACTAGATTTTAATGCTATCTTAAAATAAAAATAAAGTAATATAAATACAGACACTAATTTTCTGCTAGGATTGAGTGCGGTTGTACCCAAACTGACGCGACTCGCAAACTAGGATGTCCTATGTATATTTGGTCTTGGAAATTTAATAAATGGATTGAGCATAAAATAATAATTGGAGATAATTATTAGGGGAGACACAATATCTGTATTTTTTTTCTGGTGCACGTTATTTAATCTAAAACTAAATAAAATGATTTTTTGGCTTTGAGTTAACGTTTAAAATAAATTTGAGACTTGTCAAATTACACATATATAAAAAAAAAACACAAACAAACAAATACTTTTTTTTTTGGTATATCAACAAACAACAACAAAATAATACGTATATAACAATGATCTGAAGCCAGGTTTCGCGTTCCTGACTGTTCTCTATCGTCATGGCGAAAACACCCTAAGACTACGCAACAGTTTCGCCAACACGTTAGCCAATCCTTCAGCGTGCTTGGTGAGCGTCTCTGTACATACGTCTGTGTCTATCAAAAGACCGTGGAACGTATGTAACACATCGGTTACCTTGAGTATGAGGTTTCTGGTTTGCAGCGGGGATGACGTATGCTTGGTCATATTGCCGCTGAGCACGGTCATTCGGCGAAGTTGCGTGACGCACTGTGAAAGGTTGGCCTGAAATTCCGGACTTTTTGGGTTCATGTAGCACCGGATAAGGATTTTTGAGGACGTCACTAGTTGCCTGGCTTCTTGGCACAGGATATCCTTGGCTTCCTGCAAATACGTGGGAACACAAAAAAAGACAATAAATATTGTTTAAGGTGACTGCTCTGCTTGAGAAGCAATCGATTACTTATATATCTAACATTCTGGCAACCATTAACGACACACATTTTAAAGTTAGCCATAAGTCAATATCCAATAAATGATTTAATAATCATCCAACATTTAAGACACAACAAAGTCTTACAACCTTAAATGTGTTAAGTTTCATTTTATTTATACCTTTATATTATTTTATTTTCTCAATGGTAGCGGTTGATTGTTTAAAAGATAACGTTTGAAGTTGCGATTTATTTTATTTAACCTTATTATTTTGTTTAAATAAGTAATCATAAATGCATTACTATTACTGTATTCACCAAGGCGTAATGAATTAAACTCATTAGGTTAAGTAAAAACAAATATAACTGCATCCGATTATAAATTATAAGCTATTTTTAGTTCAAGTTAACTTCAGAAGTTTTAATTTGATTATAATTAACTCAATTATGACATTGTTTAGAATAGAATACTAGGTGAATTAATTTAATAAGTCGAAATTCTGAGTTTAGGTAAGACTAACTAAGCCAGTCACAAATTCTAATTATTTTTATTCATTAATGTCCACATTCTAAGGATTATAGAAGAGATTAAAATGATAAATTATAAAATGTAACAATCGCACAAATAATATGGATAAATAATATTATTATTAATAAATAATAAAGATTATGTTTTACGATTATAACAGAATTTAAGTTTTTCGTCCAAGTTAAATAAAATATATAGGTAATATTTATATCCATATATAATATTAAAATATTAACTTTCTTAGATTTAATCAATAAATCGATTAAAAATACCATCATACCTGGAATTTAGTTTCGTCAAGCTGTGTGCCACCACCTTGAGTCTGAGCTACATTACATTGTTCGCTAAATTCATTTAGTCGGCTTATTAGTTCGTTAATTACTGAAATAGCATCCCTGTTTGTCGAGTAACAACCATTCCGCATCAGTGTTTCCTAAATTATAAATAGTATTTAGTATATATTAATCATCAAAGTACGTATTATTCATCGTACTTGTGAGGGCATTGGTGGCAATGGAGGTTTAGTAGATAAAGTAGAGTCTATTCTGGGTGGTACTTTAGGTTTGACACGAGGAAGAGTCATGTTTTGAGCTCTAGTAGGGAGACACGGTGGTTGGGTTTCTGGACTACGCTGTCTGGGCCTAGAGCAGCAAGAGAAACCGGGTAAAGTTTTTTCATTTGTGGCACTAGGATCATCGGGTGTAGTCGCTGCGCTAACAGATGTTAAGATTTTTTTGTTCTGGTGTTCCTCAGTTTCTGGTTTTGGTTGGTTCTCAACCACCGTGGCCTTGGGAGGAGGTGGGGGTATTATAAAAGAAGATATTTCTTCTGACGTTAAAACGTTGGCTTGTTTTTCTTCTGGCCTTCCATTGGTTAATGGTGGTGGAGGTATAGTCATTGTAGCCAAGAAAGATTCTAGGTCCAGATTCATTAGACTAGTATTGTTTTTGAACCCATTATCCAATACGGAATCTATGGAAAATCACAATTTTTTAACTAAAGAAGGATATTTTTAATCATCACATACCTAAAAATCTGTCTGTGTTATGTTGGTGGTCATAGTCGGCGAACAATGTAGGAGGTAAACTACACTGACTACCGGTATTCGAACCATTCGTTTGATTTAGTTTAGCTGCATCTGTAGGTGGTGGTATTAATGTTAAATCTATCAAGTCTGGTTCTAAATATAAGCTACTTCTCGGCAACGATCTATTATCCTCTTGTAGATTTTTCCAGAGTTCCTAATGTTAATCCAACTATATAACCTATTTATTATACTACTTATTCAGACATAACTACCACTAACCTGAAGAGCTTCATGACCCGAACTCGCAGCTAACCCTTCTGGGCTATGTAAACCGAAACTAATATCAGAGTCTCTATTTGAATTTCTTCCACGATGTGAAGGACTAGTCGATGGTGTGTTTATGGATTCCGTATCGCTTTCAAGATCTCCTAAATTTAGAGCTTGAACTGCAGCCGTAATACTATCTTCAGTGCCCTTCTAAAGACAAATAGTATTATTTATTTTTATAATTTACTAAAATAATTATAACTTTATAAGAAAATGTAACATACTTGAGCTAATAACAATAACGAATCACTATGTTTGAGTTGACCTAAATTGGTCGGAGGTGGTGGTAATGAAACAGAACCATCAGATGATATGTGAGAACCGTCCGAGTCACTAGATTCACGTTGATGTCTATTTAGATATTGTTCAGAGTTTTCAACTAACTCTTGCATTTCAGCTACTCTTCTCAATACTTCTTCATTACGAGTCTCTATAAAGTTATTATCACTTTCTAAAATTTCCATTGACACAACGCTTTGAACATCAATTCCAGCTTTATCTTTCACAACGCCATTTGGCTTGTACTCTAGGTGACCATTTTGATGTTTTTTCAAAGACCTACAAATATTAATTACTTATTAATAATATTATCTTTACAAATTATATGAAAAAAGTCACTTACATAGTGTTCATATTATTATCTACATTTCCATTTTGCATACCAGCCCATATAGTCCTATTTAATGACCCATAATCATTGGGTTTGAGCTAGAAATAATACAAAAATAGGATTAAACAAATTAATTTTGTTTTTCAATCCGTCATATATACTAACCATTTCATGTTTGAATGGCGTGTACATAGGGCAAAATGCAAAATTAGTTAACTTTTCTTGTTCTTTGGCATACATGGTAGATGGCCCATAACTCCAAAGTGATGGCTTTACAATATGATGTGAATAATATTGAGGTGCTATAATATAAAATATATAAATTAGTTTTTAAAACATACGTTGACTTAATTAATTAGGTTTTTCGGTAAACAAAAAATACAATATTCCCACCACTATCCATATGTGATGTATCTCCTTTTCGGTCGACAGGTAAACTCATAGTCATTAGAAGTTTATAATAGCCTTTTAAAACGAGTATGAATTCATCTGTATCACGATCTTCCATACAAAAACTAACTTCCTACAAGAATATTTAATAATAATAAGTAATAACTAATAACAACAATTCTGAGTTTTTCAGTTGCAATTGTGTTTACCTTTTGAACTGTATTCTGTAAATATAATGTAACTGTACTTGAGATTTGATCTTCTTTTTGTACTTTTACCAACGTAACTTGTTCAATATCTGCCAATGGTACAGGCTATAAGGAAAATTAATAATATTGGGTTAGGTTTCTAAAAGTTTTTAGTCTAATCCTCCTCGCCACTTTACATCAACAGAACAATAAGTAGAAAGTTTGATTATGTTCGTATCGCGAAAATTGTTTCACAACTCCGTCAAAAATGACAAAATAACTTTCAATGCATTTCTTGATATGTATATATATATTTCATTTCAATATGAAAACAAAAGGCCTTAAGTGATACGGTATCTTGTTTTCATGTATAATACTACGTTGGCAGATCAGATAACATATGAAACTTACCATGCTGTTGCGGAGTCCAACAATTTGGCTTATACCCATTTTAGGACTGACTAAAATCACAGTTTCCAAATTGCAATCCTGTAAGATAAAATTGCATTATCGTTAGTCGTATATTAATATTGGATTTGTTATTCATCGGTACACTTACACGGACATTGGTGGAGAAACATTTTGCCCCGTAACTAGGCAGTTCGGATATAATGGTCAAGTAGTAAAGTTTCGCCTGCAACGCCGTAAGTGTTTTGTAATTGGTACCCGTCATTGTTTGGTTGAGTTTTAATAAATGAGTAAGTAGCTTTCGTAATTCCTTTCGTTTCATTGATTCCATGAGCGAGATTGGCACAAACTTTTCTAAACCAAACTCCCTTCTGGAGAACACAAAGCAGCATATCGTACGGATTAAATTTAACATAATGTTATAGATTTTATTTTAGTGCGTATAGGAATACTTAAAAAAATAACCAATAATCTGTACATACTCGATGGCTTTGACCGTGACCTTACAATAAGGTATATTGTTGACCATAGCATGTTGGTGGATATGTAATGCTGCTAATCGCAGAGCAATGTCGTACTTAAGTTCTGGTGCGTAGCGTTCTTGAACCACATCGTTACAACACTTCAAAAAATAAAAAAATAAAAAAATTTTTCAGTCAAATGAACAAGGAGTATTATCAATTAGGCTGTATAACATTTACTTGTAAGTATAAGTACTCGAATGCATTCAAATCTTTTTGAGCCAAATCACATGCATCCCTTGGTACGAATGCCACTCGAAATAAACATCTAAGATTATGGGAACCTGGCCTAGACGCAACCTATAAACACATATTACATTATACATATTTGTGTATAAACTGATGATTTAGTTAAAGTATTAATACACTTACTCTAGCCAATGTGTGTTCAGGGTCTAGTAGAGTTAATTTATGCCTACGAAGACTTTTGACTTGTTCGAGTACTAACGCGAAATGCTCTCCAGCTTTAATACATAATTTGTTTTGTAACGAAGACACCACATCTTTTACTTTGGTAGTGGAATCGTATTTAAATGACTTCGTTTGACCGTTTTCCAGAAACACTTTGAGTACATTAGGTAGCAGAGCTATGTTCGGGTCACCTCCACTGAATGCAGATACCTAAATGATTATTTCGTATTATAATAATTAATAACAAACATCTTTGTATTTTCAGACTTATAAATTATGTATTATTCATGTAAAATATTGTTTAAATGTTATAAATTAAGACGCTAATTTATCATCCTTATAGAATGTATTAAATTTACTTATTGTCATATTACAGTATAAATAATTGTAAACTGTCTTATGTTTTGAATAAATTAACCATTATTTAATAATAAAATATTAATTAAATGAAAATAATTAAAATTTTCCAATCGTATATGTATTACTTACCGGACATAATGGAGAACCGTTTACAAGTACTCCTTCCGCAAAACGTACCCTAGATGGATTCGATTTAAGTTTAGCTTTTTTCGCTGAACTTAATAAAGCCGACTTCCTAGCTGACTATAATCAAAATAAAAAGTACTAATCTCGTAATGTTTGAACACATTAAATATTAAACAGAAAGCTTACGTTATCAAGTGGAGGTTGACACACTAGCAAAGTGATAGTTTCGTTACAAGACCTGACCAATTGTATTACATAATCCCTGAGGCCATTTTGAACATCTTCATCATTTATTCGAAGAATCTGATCACCAGGTAAAAGTTTGGAATCACTAGGACCTCCCTCAGTTACAAACCTGTAAATGAAAAAAATTCATATACAGTTTTAAGTATTGGTCACGCTAATTTTTAATCTAAGACAAACTATTTCTGTCTGATAAACACTCTGATAATATCTGATAATATCTCTGATAAACATAAATTGTATTCATTTATCGATTAGATTGTTTTTTCAACATAACAATTAATCATAATATAATTCAACTGTAATATTAATTAGTTAAAAGCTTTATCATTATTCAGTATAAATGTATATAATTTCAAAATGTCTCTATGCATTTATAGATAGTTCAAATATATAATCAAACCTATATCACATTTTTACAATAAGTTACTATACAATTTTAATATAATTATTTTTCAAAATTTTTACTTATTAGTATTAAAGCTTGAATGTGTACAATAAATTACTTAATACATCATCACATTTAAATTATAATTTACTTAAAATCCCACGTAAATTAATTTTGGAACTTTCTGTAATAATATAAAAAGTACATAAAAAATGTATGAAATACATGTTGTGTCTGTTTAAAAGTAAACGATTTTACATTTTTAAATTCTGAATAGCTATTAAAAAAAAAAAAAAAAAACAATTAAAACAAAGTCAAGCTATGTATTTAAATCTAAGGTAGTCTCATAAATAATGTATAACAAATACTTGTGCGATTTGATATATTTTTTTAATCAAATACGTTTTTAAATTAAAAACACTTCGGAAATGTTAAAAATTTAACAGAAAATAAAATAAAATTGAACACAAAAATATATGAAAAGATAACATTTAAATACATTTTATGTAATACATATTGTTTGATAGGACACATACTGAATATAAAAACCTTTCCATGATTTGATTGTATTTTTTTTCATAATCATAGCCTTTATTTTTTGTAAGAGAACGATAGCTGTTCAAGGTATTTTTATTTAATTTATGACGTAAATATTGAACTTTTCAATAATACAGATGATGTATATTGTACGTACTACGTATTTAAATGGAAAACGTTTTGCTGTTATTTGGTAGAGTGTATTTTCGTTTTTTTTTTTTTATATTTACTAAATAAATTGTTAACGTTCTTGTAGTAGATTTTAAACAATTCAACGAAAACGACTCAAACAGATATGAATTCTATGCTTAATAACACGTGTATAAATTTTTAGGTATCAAATTAATGTTTTCTATTTTTTGAGACGTATTAGTTAAATAAAAATAATTTATAAATATTTAATAAAACCAATAATATTATTTTAAAATAACAGATATTTAGTAATAATAATATTATTTTAATTTTCGGTCCATGTTGTAAGAAAATTTTATTAAATAGTTAATTGCTTCTTTTCCAAAATTTGTAAACTTGAAAACTTAATATGATTATACATAGATGTTAATAATAATATATAAAACACAGATGGTTATTATTATTATTTAAGTAACTTAATCATTCAGAATATAAATTTTATGATTTGTCGAATAACTCTGAATATTCTATAATAACAATAAGTAGGACATCAACATTTTAATACGAAAATATAAGTTAATACATAAACTAGTAAAAGTTGAAAAAAAAACATTTTCTTTTTATAATATTTCATAATTTCACCTGCAACGTTGGACTGTATCACTTACATATTTTTTTTTCTTGTTTAATAATAAATGTAAGAATTTAAAAACAAATAATTATTTAAGCACACGATAGTCTCTACAGTAAATTATATCTCATTATCCACGACCGTTGCTACTAATTTATTTTATTATATTAACAATGTGATTTTTTATCAAAAATAATTTTCATTTTGACAAAGAAAATTTAAATATTGGTTTCCTCGAACGTAATAACTAGGCGAAAAATATAAATACTATAAATAAGGGCTCATAAAGAAGCATAAAATTGGTTTATACAAAATAAATGATTGAATCCATTAATCAGAGGAAAAATTTATTTTATGAAAATATAAACTTTTTTTGGCATTTAATTAGTTCGTGAAAAAATATATCAATATAAAACTCTAAGGTTAGTAATTAATTATCTAATAAATTTCATTATTAACGCAGTAAGCCATTTATGTAATCATTTTGAATATTTTAACACTATTATACATTTTTACTTGTGCACATGAAAACCAAACAAAAACCACGACGCATTGTTTAAAAAATGTAATAATGTTGGTAATTTAAAAATTATACGTCTCGTCACACTTAGGAGCGGATTCATAATTAGAGAACTGAAAGGTAGGTTATTTCAAGAGGCCACTTATTATTTCTGAAACTGGATTATAAATGTATACATTGTAACGAAAAAACGCAATATGATCATATAATGTATTTTTAAGTTTATTCATAATTATTATTGAAAACATTAACATTAATTTTATTTTATGGAGGATTCCGTCTTACATGGGGTTCGGCATAGAGATTTTTTACTGTAATTTGTATATTTTATTCTCTACAGTTAAACCAGTGACGTTATTTGGAGGGTGACAACTAGAACATTTGTCCCGATCTAATATTAACTTCAACCCATAGTCGGCACACTTGAAAAATATTAAAAGTCTTCAAGAGGCCAATTTTGTCTATAAATATTAACTGTGGATTCGCTGACATCTTGAGCCCCGAGTCATATTATTTTAATTCAGAACGAAGCAATAACAATATATATTATGTATTATACGATCATAGTTTAACGTAGGTATTTTCATTATTTAAAGTAATAACTTATTTATAGTTTGTTAAACGGAGAGAAATTACATTTCATGCTATATTCTAAAAGCAAACACCTCACAGCAACGTATACGCGTTTTAGCACTTCCGAAAGTGGGTCAATCACGAATTGTCATTTAGGTCTTTACGGTATTGTAGAAGATATTTTTATGTGAAATGCACACACATACACACACAGAGCTATTGATTCATCTCTATATCGAATTGGATACGGTGAAAAAATCGAAATCAACAAGATTATAATACACAAGAGTTTTGACAACCGAGTGTGCGTCCGTGTGTATTTTTTTATTACTTCATAAAATTCTTAATTGTAAACCTTTTTTCTTTTGTTTGGTCGACTGAATCTACCAGGAAACCTGTTCGGCGGCTCGTTTTTTTTTGGTGATTTGGGGAAGAGGAAGGGATTAAGAAAATCACCACGATATACGTACATGTCAATGCGACGATAATTGGTGGACAATAAAACTGTACAATTCGTAGTCTACCTGCATTATAGGTTTTATATGGACAGGGTAAAATAATTGTTATTCGAAAAAATCATATTCCATATACGCGAGGGTACATATAATATTTAGGTGTAAAATATCAAATTCTACCTGAAATATATTGATTTATCGAAATTATGGAGGCACAAAACGGGAAAAAAATAGTGAAATAGTGAAATAGAAAAATAGGTATATTATATGAATTATTCGATAAGATATTATATTTTCGTTCAATGTTTATAATAAAGACTCGGGTACACAGAACGTGGTATTCACTTTAGGGCACATTTAAAAAGTTTACAAAAGGAGTAAAATTGTACCTAAAAGTGTTCAATGTATGTTAGCATTTATAAAAGAAAATAATTTAGTTGAAGTATATCCTTATATTGATATTGCTCTAAGGATGCTACTATATATGTACACCTTCAAGTAATTTTTCAACGGAAAAATCATTTTCTACATTAAAAATGGTCAAAATTTATTTAAGATTAACAACGGGAATCATAAATCGTCTTAATTAATTTACAACCCTCAACATTGAATCTGATTTAACGAAAACTATTAATTTTAATGATATTATTGAATATTTTTCTTCTCAAAAGTTAAGAAAAAAATTATAAGCTATGATTATTTTATTATATATAATTAATAATAAATATAATATATTTAATCTAATAAAAAACCACGTATTGTTAATCATTGTGCATTTAATAAGTATTAATTCCATTTTCTATATTTAATATATATATATTTTTTTTAAGAAAGGAATATTCACTGAAAAAAAAAATTATGTTAACGTTAGGATATGTATTACTATAAAATTATCTAATACAATATCGCGAAACAACTGATTTATAATTTGTTTCATAAAATTAATTTTTTTATTGCTTAACTTTGAATTTATATATATATATATTTTTTTTTTGTAAGGGGTAGGGCGGAAAAATTATTTTGTCCCGGGGCGCGTATATATTAAATGCGCCACTGCGCATTATTGAATAGACCAAATTAATAAATTAATAGAAAAGCCACGAAGATGATGGATAATTAGGAGAAAAATTAATTTTTCGTTTGCAGAAAAGACGCTTTATGATTTATGCTTTGTACGAGATGTTCTAGAAAACTACGGATTTGCGTGAAAAATTGAAAAATGCTTTTTCCAAGCAATAGCGAATAGATTTCAGACGTTCGGTTTTCTCTATATTATATGGTAGGGGTGGCGAACCTTTTTAAGTTCAAGTGCCAAATTTTTCCTTTTTAGGTTTTGAAAATCGTTTATGAGCCAAAGAAAATTATATTTTCTAAGACTTTAAACAAAATTACAGATTTATTACATTATTTTTATTAAATTTTAGTCATTTTTAGTGAAACACAAGCAGCAATTGTTTCGTAGGTCAAATCCTTTCCTTCAATTTAATTACATTTTTTATGGCGAATAAGCTTTCACGAACATAGTTTGACAAAAAGCATAAGAAATATTGTCATTTTTAAAACATATATAATTTGAAATTCTTACAACCAACAATTTATAAATAGTAAAAAAAAATTTTTGTACAATTTCAATTTTTTGCGCATGCCATTAAAATTTGCTAAACGTGCCATTTTTGGCACGCGTGCCATAAGTTCGCCGCCCCTATTATATTGTAAATCTGTATTATGCGGGTAATACTAGTATACTGTGACGAATTACCTATACTGAATAGTATTTTAGAAAATAGTACCTACATCCCGTTTAATTTAAATTGCAGTAGAACAATGCCGTAAGACGAGACGCGATTGGGATTCGCTAATAATTCGTGAGTTGAAT